ATGAAGGCGCGGTACTGTTCTGTATCCAGCTTCCAGCGAGCAATTTGATGCCTGATGTCGCGCCCTTGTTGAGCCAAACGCTGATCTAAGCAGTGAGCGCGTTTCATGAGGTCAGATGGCGCCGAGAACGGTGTCTCCTGTTCCGGGGCACCGACCACAATGGGTAGTCCAATTTCGTCAGTTAGTCCCTTTACTGTTGCAGCATGCTCGTCAAGTTGAGCTAGGCGTGCCTAAAAAGGAATATGATTTTTTTAGGAACTGATCATGGGATGGGGTTCCTCTAGAAAACCGAACTAATACCACGGCCACTCCAGACAGGAGTTACTGATAAACAAATAATGCTACTTACATTATTGCAATAGTAATGTATTAGTAATTATTTTTAACAGTGCGTGTATCGATGTGTAACCCACCGGCATGTAAACAATAGGGCTTTGTTTGCCCATTACCCTCATCAAATAAAATACAAATCAAATGAAAATCCATTACTTCTGTATGCGTAATTTTTTTGCAGAATATGAAAACGACGCTGTTCAAAAATATCGCAAAGACAGAGACAAATGAACAATACAATGAATGATATAACACGCGAAAAGTGATAAATGGAATCTGCATGATCCATTTATGCAGTCGCCCTACAAGATTGGGAAAAATTCTTTTCTCGCTCAGGATACCTTCCTTTGTAATATTACGAAACAAAAGTTCAAAACTGAGCGCAATTCCCTACGTTTGCATCTTACAGTGTGCGTTTATACTGTAGGTCATTAATTTAAATTGGAAACAGTTGCCAATTAACCCTCCACCTTCTTAAAAAACGGTCGTCCGTTCCCCGTAAAATCCAATGAAGCAGTATATGAATAAGCATGCTGTTTTTCGAAAAATTAAATTTAGTCCTTTTTAAACTTCCGATTTGAGCCGCTGCATGAGGCAGCTGTCAGGAGTGTGGTTCAATGATAATTGTCTGTGTACTTTCTGGTATAGAACTCCCATTTCCATCCTGCTTTGTTTGATTTCCGAGGTAATTTATACGCGATCCTTGAGGAAGTCCCTCGAAACAAGATAGGAGGAACGCTAGAAGACCAAATGATGAACCTAAACCCTCGTAGTTGCGTTGTGGAGCGGCACCAGATCGGCGAAGTACGCGTGTCTCGGCCCTTAACTAGTGTCCTTGCTGTCAGTATCGTAAATAGTTATGTGTCTGTGTAGTACTGACTTCCAGCTTGTTGCCTGTGAATATTGCACGTTGATCTCGCAGTATTTGGTAAATTTCTGTTTAACTATTTATACCAACTTTCTGATCGATCCAGAAGGGGTTTGTTTTGAAGGATTTACTCCAAGTTCGCACACTAATTTTCCCAAGATTAGATAAGGGAAGAAGGAACTGTATATAAATATATGACAAGATATGGCTCACTGATCTCGTAAAGGAACAAGTATGTTCAGCACC